CCTGATGGCAGAGACCCTGTCTGTGTGGCGCAGGCCTACCTGCGAGAGGCAGAGGCGCTCGTGGAGCACAGAAGCCACACTCACCAGCAGGCTGTATTGCATCTCTGGGGCCCCCCCACCCCCCAGAAGGCCTGTCATGTGTCAGCGGGCCCGAGCTGCTCTGGTGGGCTTGTGGTCAGGATGCAGGCTGGGAGGCCCGGTTGGGTGCCCCGTGGCTTTGGCGCTCTCCTGCCTTCATCAGGCACTCACACATGTGCACACGTGTGAGGGTGCGTGTGCACACGTGTGTGGGCCCGGTCGGGGACGGAATGAGTTTGCTGCTCAGCTGTACCACTTCGGCTTTCCCTGCCAAGCACAGCACAGATGGGAGGCCCGTATCCATAGCCAAAACAGACTCTGGTCTGGCGGTCAGTAGCCCTCTCTACTACTGGCTCCTGGAGCACACTCAGTTAGACGGCGGGTGTCAGCCCTGCGCCCCTAGGGTCACACTATTTTCTAGTGAGGTGTCTTTGCGGCGAGCCCAGCACCCTGACCTCAGCCAGGCCTATGTCCTGAGGCCCCACACGTGCAGGCCAGAGGTGAGCAGGCCCGTGCATGTGCTTGGTGGGTCTCAGCTGGCCCTCACTGAATGCTTTTGGCAGACACTGGAGGGTCTTCTCCTTGAGGAAGCAGGACATGGCCTCACCGCTGTGTTTCTAGCAAGTCAACTGACGTCTGGTCTCTGGGTCTACAGCTTTGCGTACACCTGTGTGTCGCATTACCGAGGGAACTGCTCTGCCCTGGAGAGGGCAGGAAACCTCGGCGTGCCCCTGCTGGTGTCAGCCAGCTGGCCTGGCTTCCAAGGGAGGGTACAGCCATGTTTGTTCCCACAGCTCCTCATGCGCTGACCCCTGGAGAGGTTTAAAAAGTCCCCAGAGGCACCTGGACGGTGGGAAGTGTTTCAGAGGGAGACTTTGTCTGTAGATCCGGTTGCAGAGCTTGTGTCTCTTCCACCTTTTCACAAACGTGTTTTTTATTAACCCTCGCATGGCCACACCAAGTTTGGAATTGGGGAAGCTGTTGCCTCTTTGCTCCTGCACTTACTGGGGAAGAAGGAGACAGCTGGCTGCCCAGGACTGGGCCTGTGGGGGCCACACGTACTGGGGCAGAGCCGGGGCCCTCAGCCAGGACCCTCATCTGGGTGCCTGTCCTTGGGAAGAGGGGGTGCCATAGCCTCTGCCCGCTGGGTGTGATGAACCAGCCTCCTCCTGGGATGTGGCTCTGAGCGGAGGTGCCCTTAGTGTGATCGGGAACCCGTCTCAAGAACCAGAAGCGTCCATGCCTTTGACTTCCTACTTGCAGTGTTTGGACCAAGCTTGGCAGAAGGCTGCAGTTGCAGCATTGTCCACAGGGGTGGGCCAGGCTGATACCAGCAGTGGCAGGAAGGCTTAGAATGCGGTGACAGTGACACAGCACCCCCAGGATGTAAAAGCACTGCCAGGAACCACCACTCCAAGACTGTGGCAACCTTTGGGGAGGGGCACACTGGAGTTGGGGTGTGTGAGGTTTGCAGGTGTGCCGTAGGCCCTTACCATGTGCCCTTGTGCACACGTGGAACCCTTGCCCCACACCCGCCACCTGGACTAACTGGCATCATGGGCGTTGGAGCAGGGTCCCACCAGTCGGTCTTTGGGAAGGCGTGCGTATGACAGCATGTAGGTGGCCTCATCAGAAGGTGGGCTGGCGGGATGTGCTGATGGCACCAGTATGGGACGGGAGAGGGAAAGGAGTCGATGGTGACCCCACACAGTGCGCAAATAGAGACTGAACTCTGGATTTGATGTGGGGGGGTGAGCTCACCTGGGTGGGTGGATGGATGGGAGCCCGGAGATGGCACGTTTGGGAGTTGGGGGGTGCAGGGAGATGGTGTGAGGGAGAGAGAGCAGGACCCAGACACTGGCCCATCACAGGAGGGGCAGCCAGAGTGGACCCAGGGCAGGCAAATGGCTACATGGGGTAGTGGGAATGGGCAGATGACCACACAGAAACAGCAGTGGGAGCGGGCCCAGCCACGCAAAGCCCACCATGTGAGGGGCAGGACCCTGGTGTCCTCTGCGTTGTGTAGCTAGACTTCTTGTAGAGCCGACAACTAGAAAAGACAACTTAAAACCAAGCAGGAGTTCAGGAAGATGTGAGCTCTAGCTTGACAGTTTAACCCTTACATTGCCACCTGTGTGTGTGTGTGTGTGTGTGTGTGCGCTGGAATACAAAGGAAGACTCTTGTGTGTGTGTGTGTGTTGTAATACAAAGGGAAACTGTGTGTGTGTGTGCACACACGCTGTAATACAAAGGAAGCGCAGTGTCACCTCCGCGAGAGGCTGCAGACACCTACCCTGGTTGGTGGTCCTCCACGGTCGTAGATCAGACCTGGAAAGTGTGGGCCTGGCCAGTCCCCACGTGAAAATGACTTGGTATTTTTTGGAGGCAAGAGTTGATTGATTCTAATACATTGTTTTTTATCTATAGTTATTAAAATAAATTTATGTTCCATCTAAATTTCACATGATAGTAATTTTAGCTTTGCTTGCATGATGACACATTTATTTTAAAATGTGGGAGCAGGTAGGTGATATCAGAAATATGAAGGTTGAACTGACTCGGTAGCCTACCTCTCTTAGAACGCGGGCGCAGCCTCACATGCGTCGCTCCCTCACAGTGGCACTGGACCCACTGGCATTGCACTGTGTAGAGCTGTCTTTGCACAGGGGCACACGCACGCGGCCAGAGTCTCGGAACTTTGCAGCCAGGGTCCCAGCAAGGCCCACAACACGTGCTGGAAATCCCGTCACGAATGGTTTCCCCTTTTCCTCAGGGTGGGATTACAAGACTTGGAAAACTTTCTCTAATTATGTTGCTGAATCACCTTTTCAATAAACACCTAAGGAAGAAAATACTGCAGATGGTTCTGACCCAGCATGTGGGTTGAAACCAGCCTTTCAACAAGGCCCAGATTCCGGGGAAAGAGGCTGAGACCCCCATTCTCTTTTGGTGAGCCCAGCAAACCCTTGGGTTGGTCACTGGCCTACTTCCTCAGCAGGAAGTGAACAGACACTTCTGCCTCTTGGGGGGCTTCCCGTGTGTAGAGACGGGGTCAGACAGGTGGTGCAGGTGAGTGTCCTTACCCAGTGCTGAAGAGCAGACTGGGGCATCCAGGGAGCTATGAGGCTCTGACTGAGACCAGGCCCAAGTCGCCATGACCTCTGTCTCCCCTGCTCCCACCACCTGCTGTCCAGAACACTCCCCGATCTGGCCACTTCCCCCCAGCCCACCGCCGCCCAGGCATCTGGGTGACCACAGCAGCCCCCCGACTTCTCCCAGTTCCCTCCTGCCCTCCAGCCCCTCTCCCACCACACCTACTGGGCAGCCTTCAACATGTGAGCCAGCCACTCCCTCCAAGCTCTAGGCCGAGGTACAGGGAAGGGCGTAGAAGACATTGGCAGCGAATTTGGGAAATTTAACTTGCGCTGTGATATTGGTGATTTTTGGCCTCACTGCTGATTTTCTTCAGTGAGATAATAGTTTTGTGGTTATGTAGGAGAATGTTCTCACCAGAAGATCTGTGCGCACGTGTTCAGGCATGAAGGGTCGTGGGGTCGACAGCTACTTTCACATGGATCAACCAAAAACAGTGTGTGTGTGCATGGATGTTTGTTTGTGTGTATGTGTGTGTGTGTGTACACAGACACAGAAAGATGGAGTGTGCATGCCAGTGCTGGCAGCTGGGAATCTGGGTGAGGGACGCTCACGTCATTGTCCTGCTCTTTCAGCTGTAGACTTGACACTTCTCAAGGTGAAAAGTTGGAATAGAATCGTCCACAACGGCTCGAGGTCCTTCCCTGTGTGGGAGGCCCTGCGTGCTCTGGCGTGACTGCCCTTGGTCACAGTAGGCTCCCCTGCTCAGGCAGCTCTGTCCACCATCCCCCTCGGTCTGTCTTTCTCTGCTTTGTCTTGTCAAGCATCACCACCTGCCCCAGGAGAGTGTCTTGGGATGTGAGCTCCGCGAGAGGAGGGCTCGTTCGTTCATCAGGGCAGGGTGATAAGGGTATAATTTACAGATGGTAATAGTCACCCTTTTTAGGGCATAGTTCAGTGGGTTTTAAGAAATGTGTAGTTTTGTAATCATTACCACAGTCCTGTGGCAGAGTGTGTTTATCATCTGAAATTTCCCTAGGCCCCTTGTTGGGGTTGCCAGATTTAGCAAAAGAAAAAAAAATACACACACACACACACACGTCTCTGTATATACATGAGCACACAAAAATATGTATATATGTGTATATGTATACACATACACACACCCATACACACACAGAAAAAACACCAAAACACCAAGTTAAGTTTGAATTTGAGATAAACAACAAGTAACTTTTAGTGTCAGATGTCCCATTCCCACCCCAGTCCGGCCCCTGCAGTTTTGCCTTTTCCTGAATGGGGAAAGCAGAACTGGACCCCCACACCCAGAATAGCTCCTGGCCCCAGGCAGGCGCTCTGTGGCTGCCTGTCCATTTGGTCCCCCGATGGGCAGGCCTGGTGGCTCCCGGGACGTGGTGTTGCAGCTCAGTCCTGAAGGGTAAGGAGGTGAGAGGGAGGGAGGGACTGGGCAGAGAACGCTGGCGTGTGGAGCTGGTGGGAGCCACGGGTGGGGCAGGGACGGAGCTGAGTGTCTGAGCCCTTGGGAGCGGTCCCAGTCGCCCGAGCCCTCACAGCAGAGGTGGACAGCGCTGGGCCGCGGGAAGGGCTGCGGAGGAAGGGCCAACCGCGCAGTGGGCTCCGTGGCTTGAGCTCCTGGTGTTTGGGTGTTGGTAGGTACCGTGGTTAACATCTCAAGTCTTAGAGACTGTGATTAAGTTACAGTGAGTTGAAACTCTTATTCTAGTTCAAAAGAGCTTTTTATTTGTCGCTCAGACTACTTTAGAAATATCCCGGGCCCGGCTCACTTGATTTCTCTTTTTGCTCTACAGGCACTAGGAAGCTTTTATTTTCTTCATGAATCCTTAAAAAATGTCTACCAATTTGACTTTAAAGGTAAGACTCTATGCTGCCCTTTGGTGGTGGACCCCCACCCCCTGCTCGGTGGTCTGGCTTCTTCCAGTCCCTTCCACCCAGAGTCCCTGTGGGAGGGCCAGCATGGTCTGGGTTTAATTGAGTCACTTGCTGGTGGTCCCTAACCAGGAACCTGCCCGTGGGATGCCCCACTGCCAGCCCTCCTGCTCCAGGGCAAGGCTCAGGCAGGTGACTCTGGCTTTCCTATGACAGAGTTAAGAGGAGAAGGAAATGGTTTTGTATCTGTGTCCCTATCAAATTTGAGAAAATGGAAAACAGAATGGGAGGATGGCATATTTCAAAAGAAAACAGGCGAGAGCATGTTTGTGGCAGGAAATGTTGTCCCATATTTAATGGGCAAACCTGCATGTCTGTACTGAGAAGATTTGCCCTAAAATGCTTCTGATGACACAGCCTTCATCTCTGTCTTGGGACATTTAAGTCTATTACCCCACATCTGAGAATTTCCATACCTGTCCCTCCCAGTCTGCGGGGTGTTGTGCGTTTCTCTTCCATTTGAGATCGTCTCCATGTTACATGTGAATCCCTCTGCGTTCCATTTGGGCTGTTGAGCCAGATCACATTAATTTGAAATGTCATTAAAGTTGAAATAACTGTGGAGAGCAACTAATTATGTCAGTGTGTTCAGATTCATGATCTTTGCTCACTGGGAGACAGATTGCCTCTTGTGGGATGGAGAAGCAGAGTCTTCTCTGAATTGCTTGAGTAGTGATTCCATCGATGTTGAGAACAGGATCCCAGCCAGCAGGGTGACTTTTCACTGGCCCTGTTGCCTGAGGATTCTTCACATACTTTTAAACACGAGCATCTGACTTTTCCATGAAGGAATTTGGTGGAGTAGCCAAGAGGACGTGGCGGGAGACAGGGACCAGAGGCAGCTCTGTCCGTGATCTTAGTAGACACTGGACATCAGTGTGTCACATCCTCAAGCAGTGGAGCTGTGAGCGAGAGTGAGCAGAGGGGAGACGTGCAAACACAGCATGTTCCAGGTAAAGCTCGGGCAGAACAGGCTTTCCCCTTCTAAGAAAGCCATGGCCGAAGCTCGAGCACGTAACGGATCCATTGAACTTTTCCTTTTCTAAGTAATCATTTGCATACATGTCTTATTACACAATCAAATCAGTCATAAAGTACCTGGCTAGCCCACAGTTTGTTTAAAACTGTATGTTAGATGTACATTTGACTCCAGCAAAGCCTTACCCAGGGCCCTCACCTTGATGGTGACAAGGAGCGTGGCAGTAATGGACAGTGAGTGCGTCCTGAGCACCCGTACCATCAGGAGGACGTGTCGGTCCTGAGAGCACTCACAGTGCTCCACACGGTGATGTTCCCGCTGTCCCGCGGCACAGGCGTGTGGTGCAGGGCTCACCAGGGGTCTCAGGCAGGGCTGCCGCTGCCTGCCCCCTGCTCTGCAGCCCCTGCTCTTCGAGGCTCACTCTTCTGCCTTGAATTGAGTTACAGCAAAAGCAATCCAGAGTTTGTGAAAGGTTTGAATAAACTTTGTAAGAAGAAATAGCCTGAATTTTAACAGGTACCTAGTTAGAAATTTAAGGACTCCTGAAAGGTACAGATGAAGAGTATATATTCCAACATACAAAGAGAGTGGAAGTCGTCACTCACATCCTCACAACAAGGAAAACGCCAAACAAACTGAAAAGAGACAGCTCTTCTTAGATCCCTCAGAGAAGTGAGGTCATCAGGTGCATTGCTGCCGCAAAACTGGAGAGACAGACAGCCTACCCAGAGAATCAGAGCTTCCCAGGAGCAGAGGCTGCTGCTGGAGCTGGCCCTGGTGGGAACGGCCACAGGGCGTTGGCTGAACGCTGGGGGCCGAGTGTGGACAAGCTTGAGAGAGAGGTGCCTAGGGACCCAGCCTTGGGGGCCCACACTTTTTTGAGTTTTACCTCCAGGAGCCCCACCATGTTCTCATGGTGAAGATCAGAGAAAAATCCTCTTGTGCTTCTGGCAGAGGAGGGGAAAGTAGCTATTTTGAAATATGCCCAGAGCGTTCTGTTCATAAAGGCCTGCCCTCAAGGGAAACCATTTTGCCAGAGCCCAACCCACTGGGGTCCTATCAGGGCCTGACCAACTAGGGGAGGGAGGTAGAAAACTCCAGCCTCCTCTAGTCTTCCTGTTGCACCTGAGGTGGGGTTGGGGTGCTGAGAAGCACACGTGAGGGTCACAGCCCAGGGGCACATGCCAGCTGAAAGACTGAGACCTGATCATTGGACTACGGAATGTTTTCCCTCCACCCAAGCCTCACCACCACATCGTGATGACAAATGTTAGGATGGAAAGTCCTGCAGAGCTTGGACTCTGTTTAAGGAGGAGTCTCACAGGAGCCCAGAGACAGCAGAGGAGACAAGAACAAGGACACTGGAGGGTATTTAAGCCTCTGACCCCTGCAGTAAACACAGCCCAGCTCCTCGCCAGATAAACATGAAGCCTTGCACAAAAGCCCTAGCTACCACAGTTCTTTTTACCCAATTATTCATGTTCTGCTTTCAACAAAAAATTACAAGCCATGCTAAAAGGTAACAAATACAATCTGAAAAGAAAAAGTATTCATCAGGACCAGACTGGGATGAGGCAGAGATTGGGAATCTTCAGACTGGGAATTTACAATAACTGTGACTGATGTGCTAGGGAGTCTTCTGGAAAAAGTGGACAATGTGGAAGAACAGACGGGTACGTAAGAGGAACAACAGAAACTAAGAGAGAAGCAAAAGGGAGATCCAGAAGTCAAACCACTGTAACGGAAATGAAGGATACCTTTGATGGACTCATCGGACTGGACATTGCTAAGGAAAGAATCAGTGAACCAGAAAATAGGTCATTAAAAACTTTCCAAGCTGGAAAGCAAAGAGAAGAAACAAAAACAGAACAAAATATCTAAGAGCTGTGGGACAACTACAAAAGGTGTAGCATGTACATAATGGGAATACCAACAGGTAAGTAAGAGAGAAAGCACATGAAGAAATATTTGAAGTAATAATGGCCAAGAATTTGCCAAAACTAACAATGGACACCAAGCCACAGATCCTGAAAGCTCAGAGAACATCAAGCAGGATAAATACTAAACAATCTACACCTAAGCACGTCACATTCAAACTTCAGAAAACCAAAGATGAAGAGAAAATCTTGCAAGAAGCTGGGGAGGAGGAGGGGGTGTGACACGCCGTACCTGTAAAGGGACAGTGGTAAGAATTACATCCAGCTTCTCCTTGGAAACCGTGAAAGCGAGGAGACTGGTGTGAAATATTTAAATTGTTGGGGGAAAAACACGCCAACCTAGAATTCTGTATCCAGCAAAATTGTCCTTCAAAAGTGAAGGAGAGATAAAGACTTTCTCAAACAAAAGTTGAGGGAATTTGTTTCCCACAGATTTGCTGAAAGAAGTCTTTGACAGAAGGAAAGTGATATAGGTCCGAAACTTGGATCTACATAAAGAAAGATTACTAGAGTAGGAATAAATGAAGATAAAATATTTTATTTTTCTTATTCTTAATTGATCTAACAGATAACTTTTGTTCAAAGTGTTAATAGCAACAATGTATTGGGTGACTATAGCTTATGGATAAGTGAAATGAGTGACAGAAATGTTATAAGCAGTAGGAAGGAGGAATTGGGATTACTCTGTTATAAGGAACCTGCACTATCTGTGAAGGAATGTAGTGTTATTTGAAAGTGGACTTGGATTAGTTGTAAATGTATATTGCAAACTCTATGGCAACCACTCAAATTTTTTTCAATGAAGTATAATTGGTATACTACAAGTAGAGAGAAAACGGAATTATATATAATGGTCAATTAAACCAGAGAAGGTAGAAAAGAGTGGAAGACAAAAAAGAAACAAAGAACAAAGGCAACAAATAGAAAAGTTACAAATATGGAAGGTATTACTCCAACTATATCAAAAATCACTTTAAACGTGAATGGCCTAAATACACAATTAAAAGACAGAGACTGTGAGAGTGATTAAAAAAACAATACCCAACTGTGTGTTGTCTAATAGAAACCCACTTAAAATATATTGACACATAAAGATTAAAAGTAAATGGATGGAGAAAGATATACACTGCTAATGCTAATCAAAAAAAAGCTAGAGTGGCAATATTAATTTCAGGCAAAGCAGACTTCAGAGCAAGGAAAGTTATCAGGGATAAAGAAGGCCATTACATAATGATAAAAGAGTCAGTTCTCTAAGAAGACCTAACAATCCTTAACATGTTTGCACCTAAGAACAGAGCCTCAAAATACATGAGGCAAAAATTGATAGAATGGCAAAGAAAATAGATGAATGCACTATTATAGTTGGAGACTTCAACACCCCTCTATCAAAGTGGTCAGACCGAGTGGCAGAAAATCAGTAAGGACATAGTTGGACTCAACACCATCAATCAGCTGGATCTGATTGAGATAGACTCCTTCATCCAACAGCAGAGTACACGTTCTTCTCAAGCTCACAGGGAACATTCACCAAGATAGACACGTTCTGGGCCATAAAACACATCCTCACAAATTTAAAAGAATAGAAATCATACAAAGTATACTCTCAGAGCACAATGGAATTAAACTTGAATCAATAACAGAAAGATAGCTGGAAAATCCCCAAATACTTGGATATAAAACAACACACTTATTAATGACACATGAGTCAAGTCTCAAGAGAAATTTAAAAATATGTTGAACTAAAGGAAAATGAAAATACAACCATCAAAATTGGTGGGATGTAGCAAAAGCAGTGCAGTTGTTGCATCAAATACATAAATTAGAAAAGAGGTGAGATAAAATCAATAATCTAAGCTTCTGCCTTAGCAAACTAGAAGAGGAGCAAATTAAATCCAAAGTAAGCACAAGAAAAGAAAATAATAGGGGCTGGCCTGGTGGTGTAGCAGTTAAGTTCGTGTGCTCAGCTTTGGCGGCCCGGGGTTCACTGGTTTGGATCCTAGGTGCAGACC